TCGAGGATTCTGGACGCGGGGACAGCGAGCTTTCTTCGACATCAGGATTTTTGATCCCATGGCCGCTTGTCACCGTAACCTAGCTCTCGATGCTGCACATAGGAGGAACGAGAACGACAAGAGACGGGCATATGGGGAGAGAATTCAAAATGTTGATCAAGGCAGCTTCACTCCTCTAGTGTTCACAACCTCTGGTGGGATGGGCCCAAGTGCAAGATGTTTCTACGCCAGACTCGCGGAGTTGATCTCCGAACAGAAGCAGCAGCCCAGAAGTTATGTTACAGCCTGGATGAGATGTCGACTGTCCTTCTCTCTCCTTCGGTCGGCTTTGCTCTGCCTCAGGGGAACGAGAGCTTCTGCCCCTACGCCGACAACTGCTGCAGATATTGACTATGAGGCTACAGTCACTGAATGCCGCATAGATCTGCGGCTCAACTAATCTAACACAGTTAGGATAGCTTCTTATGTATTAGGATATTTAATATTAAGGTAAATAAATGGCGGCGAAGGTGTGGCTATTGGGGGAGGCTGGAGGCCACTACAAAAAAAAAGTAGTAGTAGTAGTAGTAGTTCTGCCAGAGAGCACACGCAATGAGTAAGTGCAAGGAAAATGTAGCTGCAATGAAGAGAAGACAAACAATGTGGCGGAACGGGGGCCTTGATGATCTCCTAAGTGAGGCAAGAACACTGTAGCAGGGACTGAAATTTAGAGACGAAAGCTAAGTCACAGACGATGTTGTCAAAAAGTTTGTTAACAAGATGCAAGTGGGAATCCTCGGCGGTAAGATCTCTCTCAGAGTAATCCTTCGGTGGTGTGCTGCCAATAAACAGAGAGACCTTACAGCAACTAAAGAAAAAACATCTCCCTGCAAGTACAGAAGAAGGAATCAGGTTCCAGGGTGACCATATCCCACCAAACGCTGTCATGTTCGAGAAAATAGCAGAATGGATTGTGTGGAAAAAAGGACTGAAGACACAGGGAGGTGCAGGCCCTCCAGACCTGGATGCACACGGGTGGAGAGTCATTCTCAGCACTAACAAGTTTGACGACACAACAAGTGATCTCTGCAGTCCAAGAAAGCTAGCAACCTACAAGCTCTGACGGCCTGCCACCTCATCCTCCCTGGATAAAAATCCAGGTTGCAGACCAATATAGGGGTGGGGGAAGTGATGAGACGGATCATTGGAAATGCATAATGGAGGTGGTCATTGATAATGTCAGGTCAGCTGCAGGGAACCTGCAAGTATGTGCTGGTCACCAGGCTGGGGGTGAAGCTGCCATTCACGCCATGAGAAAGATATTTAAGCAGCGTGATTGTGCTGCTGTACTCCTGTTTGACGCATCCAATGCATTCAATATAATCAACCTCAAGGCTACACTGCACAACGTCAAGATCAAGTGTCCAAGCTTTGCAATGTATGTTGAAAACACCTATAGGAGACCTCTTTATAACAAGCTTTAAGGCCCTAAGAGGAGATACCACCATACAGTCAACTGAGGGAACTACGCAGGGGGATCCAGTCTCCATGGCAACGTACGCAATAGGTCTATCCGTGCTCCAGCACACAATAAACTATGAAACAACCAAAGTCAAGCAAGTGTTACATGTTGATGACCTTACTCAAGCAGGAGAAGTGGAGGACATCAAAAAGTGGTGGGACTTCGTAACATCACGTGGTCCACAAATAGGGTACCACCTAAATGCCAGCAAGTCCTTCCTCATTGTGAAGTCAGAATACTATGACCAGAGGTGTTTGGCTGAAGTAAGGTCAAAATAACAAAGGACGGCCAAAGGCATCTAGTTGCGGTAATCGGCACGAACGATTTCAAGACCGAGTATGTAACGGGAAAGGTAAATGAGTGAGTGAGAAAATTCAAGCTCTGTCGGATTTTGCTAAAACTGAGCCACATGCAGCGTTTGTGGCATTCACCCACGGAGTCAAGCATGTGACCGTAACCTACAGTATCTCTCGATGCTGCACACAAGAGAAACGAGAGCGATAAGAACGGGGCGAAGCGGAGAGAATTAAAAATATGGATGAAGGCAGCTTCATTCTTCTGGTGTTCACAACCTCTGGCGGTATGAGACCAAGTGCAAGATGCAGCCCAGAAGTTACGATGCAGCCTGGTTAAGATGTCGACTCCTCTCTCCTTAGATCTGCATTGCTTGCTTCAGGGGAAGAAGATTTTAGGCCCCAAAGCCGACAACAGTTGCAGATATTGACTATGAGGCAACAGTCACTGAATGCCGCATAGATATGCGGCTTAGCTAACTCAGTTAGGGTAACTACTTTTCTATTAGGATATTTAATATTAAAATGATAAAATGGTGGCGAAGGTGTAGCTATTGGGAGAGGCCGAAGGAAACATTTGTTTAAAAAAGGCAGCAGCAGCAGCAGCAGCAGCAGCAGCAACAGCAGCACCATTATTGCTATCGGTGTTATTATTATTGCTACAGTTATTACTCTTGTTATTATTATTGTGTTATTGTCGCTGTTGTTGTGGATGTTTTCCGTTGCACCTGTTGTTCAGAACATTATTATCACGCTCTTCCCATCTGCTTGGAACTGCAATGATTAAAGATAAGTTGGAATTCAGTGACCTCCCCACACTGGTCCACTAAATCACCCCGAACACTGAATTACTCAATTGTACTGTTGGGTTGGGTTGGGTTGGGTTGGGTTGGGTTGGGTTGGGTTGGGTTGGGTTAAATTCGGCCAGGTTAGGCTAGGTTAGGTTAAGTTACGGCAAGTTACATTAGGTTGACTTAGATTAAGCCAATTTAGGTTTGATTAAGTCAAGTCAGGTTAGGTCATATTAGGTTAAGTTAGAGTAGTTCAAATTAGGTTACAATCCGTTAAGTCAAGTCAAGTTAGGGTTAGGTTAGGTTAGGTGCGTAATTGCCAATTCTCTCAAGAGTTTTTACACATCCCAATACAACTACTGCAATTGTTGTATATATTACCTACCTCCAGCCTTCTCCTGCCCACCACCCACTAAACCCACGCTCTGCCAGCCCACTAAACCCACGCTCCACTAAACCTACGATCCACCACTCACTAAACCCACGCTCTTTCCAACCAATTAAACCCACGCTCCACTAAACCTACGTTCCACCACTCACTAAACCCACGCTCTGCCAGCCCACTAAAACCATGCTCCACCATCCACTAAACCCACGCTTCACCATCCACTAAGCCCACGCTCCATTACCAACTAAACCCACTCCACCATCCACTAAACCCACGCTCAACTACCCACTAAGCCCACGCTCACGCCACCCCACCTAAACCCACGCTCTATTACCTACTAAATTCACGCTCCGCTATCCACTAAACCCAAGCTCCACCACCCACTAGACCCCACGCTCTACCACCCACTAAACCCAGCTCCACCACCTCAAACCCAAGCTCCACCACCCACTAAACCCACGCTCCGCCACCCACTAAAGCCCTATACGACCACCAATAAAACCCACGCTCCTCCACCCACTGAACCCACGCTCCACTAAACCCACGCTCCACCACACGTTCTCTAGAGGCGACCACACCCTGCAGTCCCCACCTTCAGGGTGTGTGTGTGTGTGAAAGGATTAGCAGATAACACACACACACACACACACACACACACACACACACACACACACACACACACACACACATACACACACACACACACAAAACATACACACACTCAGATGGGTTTTAGTTGCCATTGGGCAAACACAGGAAATTGGATACACAAAACACGATATTTGTGGAAGAGAGAGAGCAATAAACATCCCAGGATGAAAGAAGAGCCTCACTCTTCAATGGCCCAGGTAAGGACCATATACCATGGCCCAGGTAAGGACCGTTATACCATGGCCTAGAGTAAGGCCCATCATGGCCCAGGTAAGGGACATGGCCATACCATGGCCTAGGTAGGGTTATATGCCTATACCAGGTGGGACGTTATATGGCCCGGGTAAGAACCGTTATACCATGGCCCGGGTAAGGACCATATACCAGCCCAGGTGGGACCCATACCATGGCCCAGGTAAGGACCGTTATACCATGGCCCAGGTAAGTTGTTATACCATTGCCCAGGTAAGGTTATACCATGGTAAGGACCCTTATACCATGGCCCAGGTAAGTTCCGTTATACCATGGCCCAGGTGGCCCCACCGTTATACCATGGCCCAGGCAAGGACCCCATACTATGGCCCAGGACCGTTATAGGATGGCCCAGGCAAGGATGGCCCAGGACCTCATACCATGGCCTGGGGACCGCTATGCATGGCCCAGGTAAGGACCGTGCCAGGCAAGGACCGTTATACCATGGCCCAGGCAAGGACGTTATACCGGCCCAGGCAAGGACCCTTATACCATTATAGCCCAGGTAAGGATGGTAAGGACCGTTATACCATGGCCCAGGCATACGAGCATGAGCCCAGGCAGGACATATACCATGGCCCCAGGCAAGGACCCCATATACCATGGCCCAGGCAAGAACCGTTATACCATGGCCCAGGTAAGGACCGTTATACCATGGCCCAGGCAGGACCGTTATGCCATGGCCCAGGACCGTTATACCATGGCCAGGCAGGACCGTTATACCATGGCCCAGGCAGGACCCTTACCCTTGGCCCGGGCAGGACAGGCAAGGACGTTATACCATGGCCCAGGCAAGGACCCTATACCATGGCCCAGGCAGGACCCTTATACCATGGCCAGGTAAGGACCCTGCTACCATGGCCCAGGCAGGACTGACCCATGACCATGGCCCCAAGGCCCAGCAAGGACTGTTATACCATGGCCCAGGCAAGGACCATATACCTGGCCCAGGCAGCAGACCCTTAGACCAGCCCTAAGGACCCATGACCATGGCCCAGGCAAGGACCCATATACCAGGTAAGGCCCGACCATGGCCCAGGCAAGGACCTTATACCAGCCCAGGCAAGGACCTTATACCATGGCCAGCAAGGAGTTATACATGGCCAGGCAAGGACCGTTAGACCATGGCCAGTAAGGACCGTTACCGCCGTGGCCCAGGTGGACGAGGCCTGTGGCAAGGACCTTATACCATGGCCCGAGCATACCGTTATACCATGGCTCCAGGCAGGCTTATACCATGGCCCAGGCAAGGACCCTTATACCATGGCCCAGGCAAGGACCGTTATACCATGGCCCAGGCAAGGACCGTTATACCATGGCCCAGGCAAGGACCGTTATACCATGGCCCAGGCAAGGACCCTTATACCGTGGCCCTTCAAAGACTTTAGTGTAAATATGTCGACACCTCCAAGGGACTTCATTTAAGACCCCCGACATAAAGACAGTGTGCTGAGTATTATGACCAGCGACACTTAAGAGGATGCTATGAGTGGGTAGTCCTCTTGTCCACGATCAAGGGGGAGGAAATAATTTACGTGTGTCTCTTGAAAATCCTAGACAAGGTAGGTGTGTGTGTGGTGGGAGGGGCTTTACGTCACAACCAGCGGAGACATGGTGAGGTTTGAAGTTTATGCACACACACACACACACACACGCACACACACACACACACACAGTCTTGTCAGCTTTCTCGACTACATATACCGCCATCTGGAAAAAAGAAAAAAGTCTGCGGCTGTCGCCTTCATTGACTTCAGCATGGCATTTGACCTAGTCGACCACAATTTAATCATCAACAAAGCTATCGACCTCGGGTTTCGAAGAAGTCTTATACCATGGCTTACAGACTTCCTCAATAACCGACGCCAAGCTGTACGCTTCCGAGGGGCTGTCTCCACCTTTCAGTCACTCACCTATGGCGTCCCCCAAGGCACCAAGATGGGACCACTATGCTTCCTTATGTTCATCTATGATGCACTAAGAGAAACCCCTGCTCGCTGGAAATATGTCGACGACTCCACCATTGGGATCAGTGTCAACAAATCTGCTTCCGACTATACAGCCCTTCAGGATTTATTGAACATTCTCCAAAACTGGGCCACCAACAACCACGTCACCATCAACCGTACCAAGACCATGGTTATACACATCAACCTCTCCTCCGAAGTTGTCCCACCTCCTTCCATTACTTTAGGTCCCAACACACTCCAGGTAGTAGATTCCACTAAGCTCCTCGGCCTCACCATAGACAACAAACTAAATTGGAAACCACACGACAGTGAAGTTGTCAAATCCTCCAGTTTTCGTCTCCACCTCCTTCGCCGACTCAAGTCCCTCGGAATTCCTGCACCCGAACTCCTCAGTGTTTACTCAACATTCATACTTCCCAAGCTCACCTATGCCTCCCCTACCTGGTCTTCCTCCCAAAATGCCACACAACGTAAACACCTAGAAAAAGTGCAAAAGAGGGCATGCAAGATTGTTCTCTCCCCTTCCTACTCCACATATCAAGAAGAACTCAACACACTGACCCTCTCGGCTCTTTCTGACCATCACCACGACCTCATCTGCAAATTTGGTGAGAAGCTTCTGCACCATCCTCGACACCGGCTCCTACTACCACCTGAGATCCCTCGCCCGAGAATTCCTGTTCGACACCACAACCGCATCCAGCCCATACGAGCACGAACTGATCGCTATAAGAACAGCCCAGTCCCAACTATTGTAAAAATTATCAATAACTTGTAATCAACCAGTGTAATCACTCCCAGTCTATCTTACTTTTCGCACGTCACTATGTTGACATGCCCTGTAGTATAACCTTCTCCCCACCTAGTTATTATATTTCATATTTGCATCACTTACGTTACTTGTATATCATTTGTAAAGGAAGAAACCCATTCCCCAATTATGTAACTATATTTTCAGCCTTCCGGCTGCCATGCTCTTTCAATAAACCGTTAATTATTATTATTATTATTATTATTATTATTATTATTATTATTATCATTATTATTACACACACACGCACAGTTAGTGTTTTTGTGATGATTTATTATTTTTCAACTGTTAATCTTAGTCAATATAATAATAATTATTATCATGTAGAATAAACAAAGTCATCTGCAATGAAATGGTCTCTATGTTATTGTTATTATTATCATTATTGTTAATATTGTTATTATTATTATTATTATTATTATTATTATTATTATTATTATTATTAGTTATTATTATTGTTATTGTTATTATTATTGTTATTATTATTATTATTATTATTATTGTTATTATTATCATTATTATTGTTATCCGCCGTTATTATTATCGTATTTATTATTATTATTATTAGCGTTATTATTATCGTTATTAATATTATTATTATTATTATTATTATTATATGTTCCACACACATCCATCCGTACACGTACATACACCCCCCTACCTTCTCACTCCCTCGATCTTATCTTCATCCTTCCTATTTCTTAGCCTTTCCTACCGCCCTTCTGTCCTCCTCCTTCCTTCTCTCCCTCCCTTCTCCCCTTCCTTGTACTCTGTCTTCCATATCGCCTCCTCCTCCTCCTCCTCCTCCTCCCGGTTCGGGCTTCCACGAGGGCTGGGGGCTGGCGGGGAGGCCTGGGGGCTGGCGGGGAAGAATGGGGGCTGACGAGGTGGGCAGGGGGCTGTAGGCGGGGTTGGGAGGTTGGGATCTGATGGAGAAGGTTGGGGGCTGGCGGCGGGGGGTGGGGGCAGGAGCTAGTAAAGACTCCATTACACAACTTGTCATGGAGTACAACCTTGTAGATGTCACACATTAGTTGGCATTAAAAAAATTAAATATAAACATAATTAATCTTATTGTATCCTGGGGAGCGGCGGTCGAGTGGACAGTCTTATCTCTCGTTCTAAGGGTCACTGGCTCGATCTCGGAGCACCCCAAGTTACCCAGCTGTAAATGGGTACCTAACTTTACATTTGTGGAAGTAAAGGAGGTCCAGTGCAGTGCCGGCCACGCTGCTTCCTTGTACTGTACACCAAACCAAAGGTTGTGTATCTACACCGCCCCTAATAGGCTGCCAGCTCCATGGGGCCCTCTCTGCCCTTAGTTACATGAACGATCATAAATTCCCCCTAAAACACGTATATTTTTGTAAAGGTTTACTGTATATCAGCTGAAAATATACGCAATGCAGTGCAGAATTATTTATAACTAGTATGCATCGCTAAATATATATAAACCGCAATACAGTATTATTTTATACAAATGTACATCGCTAGAATGATCAAGAACTGATATTCACATTTCAATACAAAATATTCAATTCATGACCTATATTTATATTCATACATCAGCAGGGCCAGTCACCGTGATGGATGGTAAGGTGGACAGTTGACCTACTGTACTGCAGCCTCCTGTATCGTCGCCCACACCTCACTGTGTATTATCCTGATGAAGATTATTTTAATGCAAATATTCTATGAAAGGGAAAGTGGGTGGCCATTTGCTGCATGTGAGCGCTGTATTCACTCAGCCACCGCATCCGTATATATATTTAAATTAAACCCTTAAAATCATCAGTGTTCATAAAAACTTTAGTATATAATTATGAATATGTTTGAATAATCACAATTTGTATTAATTTACTCAAACTCATAGTAAAATATTCAGGTGAGGTCGTACACTACCCAGAACTGGTAAGCATTTCTGCACACCAAAGATACACTGAGTAAAATATAAGGTAAATTACATTATATATTACAAAAATAAGTTGTAGTGAATGTTTACATATTATTGAGCATCAGTCAGCTGGATCATACCCGCAGGATTTGTAGAGTCAAAACTAAGACTAAAATACTAAAATCAAAAGTTCCGCCATAATTCTTACTTATGCCAGCGCTTTGCACACTTATGAAGAAAGAACAGAGTAATTGTTAAACTAGGATTGTTTTTAAATTCACTAATAAGACACATACTGGTCTGTCAACACACACTCGCTAAAAGTTGGTTTGGTTAGTTAATGTACTAAAAAAAATCATCTGAGTAGTCTTACATTTCCAACTCGGTCACTGGAGACCTCGCAATAATTTATATTTGGGTTTGATTTTGTAAGTAATTCCCTTTGTTAAAATCAACACATTTTAGCAACTACAAGTTAGAATTCTGGCGAATACTGAGGCAGAAAGACCACAATGAACTCTGGCAAGTGACCTGGAAACAATTTTTTTTTTTTATTCAACAAAAGTTTATAATGTTTAAACTCGATTCTTTATATTTCTTTGACTTGATGTTGTACAAGTTTGTATTAACACTTTTTGTAATTTGGGTGGATATTGATGTAATGTATTTTGTGTCCAAACATGGGTGAAAGCGATGGTTTACCTGCGTGTCCCTAAAGCCTATATGAAGACCGGGACTGTACAGTACGTCTCAAGGTGCAGTATAGCGACCAGGAGAAACACATATGTAAATAATTAATTCTGTTCTCAGGTATGATTGTTTTAAGTATACCCGTGATATGGATCAAGTGCAAATTATACGGTTACAGGAGGAGCTGGTGTTGATGATGGCTGTGTTATCTGCTCATCACGCTCCAGAACACAGCCAAAACTTGATCATGTGTAGTGCAGGAATGTTCACAGCCAGGCCAATTATCTGCCTTTCTCTTTTACCTCAATTCATGGGCTGTCCAGTCCGATACATACTGAGTATTTACGTTTAATTAAAAAGAATTTGCGAAGCTCAGAGCGCCGATAACAGGAAATGGTTACGACAACTTCAACCAGAACGCTGGCACCTACCACAGTGGGCTGTCGGACGCACGATTAATGTTAATATGTTCACTAGTTTTACACTTGACCTCACGAATTATCGTGTGAAAAGGGACACTTGGTGAACCTCCAGTAACATATATGATGGTGTTAGTTATTGTTGTTGTAACTGGAGTGTTACCGAACACATTATGACGGAGCCGGACAGATAAGAGCCCAGTTGTAGAGGTACTGTTTTTTATGCTAACATATTGTGCAGTAATAAAGAAGACAACATTATCATTTCTACATCCAACGGTAGGTGACAAACAACCACACGAAGGAAAATCAACTTCTAAGAAAAATCAAACAATTTAAAATATAAATGAGAGGAAAGGTTGGCCAGAGAGGACCACCACCTCCCTCACCCATGGCTATAACTCGAGGTGAAACGAAAAACGAAAAGACGTCATATTTTCTCACCTGGAGGCGTCACTAGTGGTGATGAGTGACGCCCCGGCCACCAATACAAGAGTAGTGGTGATGAGTGACC